AGGAGTCACAGTTCTACCTGTAGGTGTCTCACTGAGGTTCATGCAGATCATTATTAATATTTGTTATTTATAGTGTGAAGTTCGCATCTAAAGGGGACTCATACTGAACCAAGGAAGGAATTACTAAAGAAACGATAATTAGATTACCTTTTCATCTTGTTTCTAGCTCACGGCATGACGTAGGGAGCTTTGAGGATCTGAACGCATCTCCTGAACGCAGTTTTCTCGTGAGTTCTCAACACTTCATACACAGTATACACGGTGAGATAAGCTCCCTCACACACCTGGGCTCAGCACCTGGGTTTGGCTGGCAACAATACCGGAGGTGACTCACACACACACACCGAACCCCACGTAATATGATGATAATAGTCAGGCCTTCAACCGTTACCGCCGAGACCCGACTGTTACCGCCGCCACTTCAAGTCATCACCACAACCACTACCCTCCCACCCTCCCTGCCTACCCACCTTTAGTCTAGTCATCTGTACTGTCACCACTATCACCACCACTAACATAACCAAAACCACCACCACAATAACCACTACCAATACCAACCACAACCATTACCAATCACAGCCACCACCACTACCACACCCTCCATCCTTCACCATCTCCCAGGAGCGTTGTCTTCATATAAATAGTTCCCTCCTCCCTTCCCTCCCTATACATGGTTATTAGTCACACACACACACACACACACACACACACACACACACACAGAGTGTAAGTAGGAGTGTACAAAGCTTGGGTTGACCTTGCCTGGGGCACCACTCCTCCACCACCGCCACCACACCGGGAAAGGATCACACAAAGACCAACCCAACCTGTCTGTCTACTGGATATGTACAAAGTTGAATCAAACTATTTACGTTAGGTTATGTTTGGTTAGATTAGGTTACGTTAGGTTAGGTTACCTTATCCACGAGTAACAGGTCAAACATGTCAAGGTCTAAGAGGTCCCGACCTTAATGGTGAGAACTGAATAGATCAGAGCCTGTCTATTAGAACTGGGACCAAATCTAAAATGGTGTACTGAGTGGTGTTAGTGAGTCAGGTACTGCCCACCACCACTTCTCGTTTACTTTCACTTGTGTCTGTTTCCTAAAGCTGTGTGTAACCTTAAACTTTTTACAAGTGAACACCCCAAGGAGAGATGGACTACTTTAAACACGGTGAGGAGTGAGTGAGTTAATTAGCCTATAGGCTCGTAACAAGGCTAATAAAGTACTTGGGTTCATACAAAGGAGTGTTAGTTTCAAGACTAGCTAGGTCATCCTAAAACTGTATCTTGCTCTTGTGAGACCACACCTGGATTACGCAGTTCAGTTCTGGTCACCGTATTACAGAATGGATATAGAATCCTTGGAAAGAATTCAGAGGAGAATGACAAGACTAATCCCGGGCATTAGGAACCTTGAGTATAGAGACAGGTTAAAGCATCTTAATTTGCACTCCCTCGAGAGACGTAGAGCGAGGGGCGACCTGATAGAGGTGTATAAGTGGAAGGCAGGGCTAAACAAAGGGGACATTACAAAGGTACTCAAACTATCCAACCAGGAGCGAACTCGTAACAATGATTTTAAATTAGACAAATTTAGATTTAGGCGTGAAATAGGTAAACACTGGTTTGAAAACAGAGTAGTGGATGAATGGAACAAGTTACCAAATATCATCATTAACTCGAATACGCTGAATAGCTTCAAACATAGGTTGGATGCTTATATGAGCAATAGGGGTTGGGTGTAAACGGGACTGCCCAGTATGGGCCAATAGGCCCGCTGCAGTTTCCTCCATTCTTATGTTCTTATGAAGGACGACAGATGAGTGGAGACTGTCTGGGGGTGAACAAGGGACTGTTCCACGTGTATCAGAGACGAGATCAACCTTAAAGTGCATGGTCAGGTACAGTGATGAGCCCGTGTATGCCCAGTACCTGTCAGCAATACACCATATAATTTGATCATCCGCCCAACGTCCTAGTAAGGTGACTAGTGAAGAAGAGGAAAAGTATATATTGAATTAAACATCAGAACCTTGGCGACTAAAACACCGAAAACAGACAACCGTGATAGTTCATGTAGAGGTCATCAGGCGCTGCAACGCCCAGCCAGTGTCCCACCACACAACCACTTCATTAAATTAAGGATTTTTCTTTATTACGATCGCAACCCTTTTGACCTACAACCACCTGCGTGTGTGTCAGACCAAAGGAGACAGCCTTGGCCGTGCCCTGAGTGACCTGTTGTTCCCCGCGCCCATTTTTTGTGACCACTGTGATGTCACCATGACGAGGAATTGCCCACTTTCATAGTGACGCCACGTCCCCAGGTGAAAGAAGCCAGTAATAACTAGTCGTGTGAATATTATCAGCGTCGTCTGATCGTCTCAATCCCTCGCTGCGGTTGTGACACTGAGCCATAAAGGGCAAAGTAAAAATGGTAAGGCAGTATCATGGATAGCGAGGTAAGTGTCAGGGAAGTGTAATGAAGGGCGAGGTAAGTGTCAGGGAAGTTCCATAGATGCCAAGGGAATTAATCGGGAAGTATCATGAAGGGCAAGGGAAGTACAGTGGAAGTGTTATGGCGCGCAAGGCCGGTGTGAGGGAAGTGTCAACGCAATGATTCTCTGTCTTACTTTCAACTACTAATTAAATTCCCAACTAAACCATAACCCTCTCCAACTTAAGTAAGAGGAAACCCACTACTTTGAGTAATGAACAAGACAATATACTAAATTACAACCCTTTCTATTACAGCTTAAATGAAACAGCAAAACAAACATATACTTTCTTTAACATTATAAGTAATATATAAATACCACCAGCACAGAAGTTATATCATTTATATTGAAGAAAGTATATAAAGTATTTAGTGTGTAAACCCTCTATATTAACTTATACAGTTATATGGTTGTGTATTGTAACCCCTCCTCCCTGCCACACCTCCCTTCCCCTCCTCCTTCCCCTCCTCCCCCACCCCCTTCCCTCCTCCCCTCCCCCCCCTTACCCTTCCCCTCCTCCCCCTCCCCCACCCCTTCCCCTCCCCCTCCCCCTTCCCCACCCCTTCCTCCCCCTTCCACCCCCTTCCCCAAGCCACTAAGCCTCAGAATCTGTCGTGACGAATGCCAAATAATTTACCTTGACAATTTGTGATGCCGACCAGGTGTTCTTGTAACTTTGAAAACAACTAATTACAAAAGCCAAGGGTAATGGTGGCGACATACAGTATTGACATAGATGGCAACACTCTGATTAGGAAATGTTAATGGTGGTGGTGGTAGTAGGAGGAGGAGGAAAAGGTGAAAGGGGTGGTTCTGACGGGAGGAAGAGGAGGAGGTGGTGGAGGACAAGGTACAAAAGAAGAGGAGGAGGAGCTGGTGGAGGATGGGGGGGGGGGAGAAGACAAAGGAGGTGGAGGAGGAGGAGGAAGAAGAAGAGGGGCACAAGCAGTTTTTTTTCAGAAATTATTACAAGTCTGTGTATAGTAATGCCCTCTGGTTAATCTATCGTGTAGCACCAACAACACTAACTCGTAATAGAGAGGAAGTAAGGAGTGGCCGAGCGAACTAGATTTTCCTTGAATTTTCTAAAATATGACAGAGGAAGGAAACATGAGGCCTTCCCTAAAATTCAACAAGACTAGTGTATGTACGACCTCTCTCTCTCTCTCTCTCTCTCTCTCTCTCTCTCTCTGCACGTACGACCTGCCTCTCTCTCTCTCTCTCTCTCTCTCTCTCTCTCTCTGCACGTACGACTTGCCTCTCTCAAATTTAGGTTAAACAGATACGTAGTAGTAGTAGTAGCAGTAGTAGTGGTGGTGGTAGTAGTAGTAGTTGTTGTAGTATAAGTACTTTTGTTTTTATTTAATGACAGAACAGCAGAAGATATTCAAACAGGGTCACTACACTAAATACAGTACAAACAACACGAGGTGGTAGGGTACAAAGTTACTCTAGTTCGAGTGACCGTAGCCAATAACTTTCTCCCAATAGCTAGTAACTTTCTCCCGTGGGTAGTACAGTAACTTTTTTTTGTAAACTGTTTATAACTTGGTAGTATCGTCAGGTTTTATTAAGCACTTTTACTAGCAACACATACTCTTGAAAATTCCTAACTCTCTTGGAACGTTTATCGCAAGTTGTTGTATTGCCGTTGTCACCACTGATAATTATTAATCACAAATTCTCTTTTGATGCAGTTTTAAATGGTTCATCACTAGACGTTTGACATAGACAACCAATGATAATACCCGACATTATGTGTATGATATTCTCTATATGGTTTCCTTTGGGGTAACTGGACTCAAATTCCCGGTATTTGTTAGCGATGATAATTTAGGGCAGACGTTGGTGCCGCCCAGGTGAGGCACGGTCGGGAGGCAGGTGAGCGTCTCGTAATTAGTGACCATTTTTTTTCTCTTGTCTTATTATAAACGTGATGATAAGAATACAGTGACCAACGATATCATAATAGTACAGTGATTATAATTAATAAGTGGTTGAGTAAATGTCATGTATTTTGTATCGTTAATAAATTTCATAAATGGATAATAAAAGCTACACTTGTTAACTGAATAACTGTCCTCTTCCTCACTCTGTCGTCACTGAGGCTTCGAGTTAGTTACTGGATTCAATTTAACACAGAATGCATATAAGAACTACAAAGTTAATTAAATCAATGCCCAGCACTCTGTTCAACGCATGACAGTACTTGATGGAAGTGATACTGGAAGTGGGACAGTAATTTACAGCTGCACACCACCCGGGTCCTCACAGTGCTGGAGTACGGAGCTGTATTATAACAGTCCTATCTCCACCAACCACCACGCCACGCCTCCAACACCGATTCACTCAAAACATTTCTATCGTTCTCGCTAGTATTTCAATAATCCAAAGTTTTTTAAGTTTCTCCAACGATAGAAATTACACGTGAGAATATAATTGTATTTTAAAGTACACTTAACACTAATGATAATGTTTTCGACAGTAATTTTACTAACCTCTTATGGTGTGTATAATCTAAGTATCCAAGTATTAAGCGAGATGTGAACCGCGTCCCTCAGGAGCGGTTTGGCTCACACACTTGCACTCTGTGACTGGTTACTGCTGGGTCTGCGCTCAAACACTCTCTCTTTATACGTAGTTCTGCAAGACCGTTGCCACACGCCTCCACCAAACTCCCCGGGAATTATCATGGAAACTAATTTATTTCTCAAATCTAATTTCTCCATTTCTACCCGTGAGACCAAGAGATAATAAAAGTAAAGTGAAATAAATAATTTTTTTGTACTCAAGCTACTGAGATATCTCGTGTTGTGTGTCTGCTTGTTGAAGTTATTATTCCGATGTTAGTTTTTGTGTCATCCTGGCTGAAAGTGGCGTGTGGCAGACGAATGACGGCAAAAAATACACGTGTGGGGAGGGTCGTGTTATAAGGGGGTGTTGGTAAATGTGATCCAGGAAAAATAATTGATCAAAATTAACAATTACAGTGAAAGTTATAAAAGGAGACTTGCTGATTATTATTACCCAACTCCCCTCGAGATAATGTTAAGTTTAATCAGCAAATCAAGTATAACTGAATTTAGTCTTCATTCTTTTAAGCTTATCAATGTTCCTAAGGCATCTAGACGGATCAATAAGTCAACAGATATCATTATTTTGTTACACCGTTTGTTTACTTCAGGTGAGACGCAAATAACAAAAATAATCACATTATTTTATTTTCAAGGGTTTGTGTTCCTATCTCGATTACCACAACGCAGTATTTATTTATTTATTTATTTATGCACAGGACACGTGATTCATAACACAGTATAAATAAGTAAATGCTGGAAAACTGAAATACAAAACATTCCATGAAAACTGTTTGAATGTTTTCGTGTTTTAGTATTTTAGTAGTTATCTATCTATCTATCTATCTATCTATCTATCTATCTATCGTTCTATCTATCTATCTAACGAAACTGTATCATCATCAACTGTAACGATAACCTCACCACTACCTGTCAGTAACATGATAGGGCCGAGATACCTGGCAAAGATGTAATGATAAACATGATTATTTGAGGTGTATTTTGAAGGTCACATTATACAGTGACACCTCCATATAACGGACTTCCATTACTATATAGTTCGCAAATGGGGTTATTTCACATTTAACAGACCATCGATATAACGGACTTCCATTACTATAGTTCGCAAATGGGGTATTTTCACATTTAACAGACCATCGATATAACGGACTTCCATCTCTATATAGTCCGTTAAATAAAGGTATTACTGTACAGGTATCTACAACAGGTGAGTGGATAGTTATCATTTCCTGGGTGAGTCACGATGTTTGAAACTTACGTAAACTTTTGTGTAAATTTATTCTGTAAATTTATTCTCCATCAGTGAAACACGCACACACACACACACACACACACACACACACACACACAAACACACACACACACACACACACACACACACACACACACACACACACACACACACACACACACACACACACACACACACACACACACACAAGAAACATGAAAAATAATTCTCCTTGTCCTGATTCACAAAGGTGTGGTGAATATTCTACTCGTTACTTCACAGGTGTTAAAAACTCCTAATTAGTTGACCAGGTAAAAAAAAAATCCGAAATGAGATTCAAACTATGGAATTCAAGTTATAATGAGAATCTATCTTAATTCTGTTCTATGATTGATGAATATTATTGTAAGAGGAAAAAATGGCTTTACTTAGAAATATTATATCAAGAATGCATCACTTGCTTTATTGCTTAATAAGAGGGTTTCATCACACCAGCTAACAACGCTTCATCACTAAAAGAGTTTCATCAGTAAATAACAAGGCTTCATCGTCAAATAACAAGGCTTCATCACCAAATAACAAGGCTTCATCACCAAATAACAAGGCTTCATCACCAAATAACAAAGCTTCATCACCAAATAACAAGGCTTCATCACCAAATAACAAGGCTTCATCACCAAAAGAGCTTCATCACCAAATAACAAAGCTTCATCACCAAATAACAAGGCTTCATCACCAAATAACAAGGCTTCATCACCAAATAACAAGGCTTCATCACCAAATAACAAAGCTTCATCACCAAATAACAAGGCTTCATCACCAAATAACAAGGCTTCATCACCAAAACCACAACATTTCCACCTACCGAAACACAGCACCCACTATTACTGTATACTCACCACCACCTATAATCTACACTCTAACCAACACCTTGACATAACCAACATACATGACATGACACCTTATAGATCGTTAATAGGTAAATAAATTCATAAGATGTTCCCTCACGTTACCCTAACCACCAACTACCAATATCTCATCTATACACACCTAAGAGTATGACGTAAGAGAATTGACGTAAAACAAAATTGAAATGCTTTAAACACATATATCTAGTTTAGTCTGGTCAACGCCGCCTTTAACATCACATGCATTGGTTATTGTTAATGCTATTGCTCGCCTCAGTAACCTCTATGGGGAATGGTAATTTAGCTAAGGGTTGCGTTTAGTTAGTCTCCTTCTAGTTTATCGTGTCGGACTTGGTGAGTGAGGTTATGAGAAAGTTGGATGATAAGGTGAGTATTGTGGATTTTTACTACAAGGTGCTCATAATTGATCCAATCCGCCTTACACCCCTGACACACACACACACACACACACAAAATGCATATTGGGTTATATGTTAAATGTTCTGTCATTCCTAATAGGCCCCAATCTAACCTGACCTAACCTAATTAAACTAACCATTAGAATAGAGGGTCATTTAGGTTAAGTTTCATATACTCCTGGTGATTAAATTACCTTTGGGTCTATTAGGTTAGGTTAGGTTAGGTTAGATCGGTTAGGGCTAGTGAACCATAAGAACCACTCATCTTATTTATCTACCCCTGTCTCTCTTGACCTCTGACCTGCTTTCTCTAATATGAAGTAAACTTTTCCTTAAGGGAGACGAGAACAGTTTATATCGAGATTTCAATGTTCACAGCAATTATTATTATTTTAACCTGTGTAATATTATGTATAGTTATTCAGGTATATTTGGGCTTTATATATAAATTCTATATACATTTGATCTTTTTTTTTCAGGAGTTGAAAGTTAGTATAACAATATTTAGATTTTAATATTATAAACGTCAATTACAGACACACATACAGGCAGACATATGCCAAAAATAGTATTGAACCAACGTTGATCACTATATATACAAACAAAAAAATTAGGTAAACAAATCAACAATAATGATGCAAACTGAAACAAACAAACATAAACACATTAACGATAACACCTACAATATTCACCGCTGTAGACTTGTGACTCATTATCGCCCAATATGAACCTAACCTAACCTATTACCTAACCTAACCTAACCTAAACGTCCCCAGGTAGCATTAGGGTATTTAATCATCAGGTAAAATAATTGGGTGAATTAATCTTCAGGTAATTTATAAATAGTACCTTGGTGTTCCGGGTTATCCCTGGTATTATTGACGTCATTTAATTACCTCTCACCTGGTGGCATTCGTCCTTCAGTAAAGCTAGTGTCAGTGACTCGATATTCAAAACACAATCACACCCTCATTGTCTGAATACTAATATGTGTATAATTAGTGTATTGTGTGGTAGAGAAAACGTCATACTTAGCCCAAGAGTAGTGGGTGTACATGTGAATGTCTTACCGTATATGGTGGTGGTGGTGGTGGTGTTGGTGTTGGTGGTGGTGGTGGCGGCGGTGGTGGTGGTGGTGTTTCGTTGTCAAGGTGACCAAAGTGTGGGTGGGTCTTAGAGGATTTTCCCAAGCTTACCTCACGCTTCTCTAGTTTACCTCATACCTCCCTAGCTCACCTCATACCTCCCTAGCTCACCTCATACCTCTCTAGCTCACCTCATACCTCCCTAGCTCACCTCATACCTCCCTAGCTCACCTCATACCTCTCTAGTTCACCTCACACCTCCCGACCTCACCTCACCCTTTCAAACTACTTTCTTTCATGTGACCGCTTCCACATAGTAACTGGCTCTTACCTCCCCTTATCCAGTCCAAACCAGAGTGCCCCACCCCTTCCTGTGAGCTGCTTTCGTTCCCTCATATACCCACACTATCCACTTACACCTCAAATCCACACAATAAAGCCTTCCCACACATATCATCATGCCCAAGTATACACCACGTAACCACACCACCACCTGGCCTTCATATACTGCCCATACCTACTGACAACATTGACTCACAGGTAACCAAATCCCTTATTCTTCGCGCTCACGTTTAATTCGCTTCATGAAACATCTTAACTTTAAATTGAGAGGAGTGAGGTTAGGTTAGATCAGGTTTGGTTAGGTTAGGTTAGGTTAGGTTAGGGTGTTTAATCATAAAGGTGAAATAAGCTGAGAGGGAGGGCAAGACCTTAGGGGAGGGAGTGGGGGTAGGGCGGCTAATCTTTACGACGTGATTCCAGTAATACCTGAAGCAATTACTCTGTCCTAAGTCTTTTTATTTCATACCCGAGAACCCCCCCCCCCACGCCCCCCAGTCGACCCAGCTGTAAAACGGTACCTAACACTAAAGATGGGGGTAAGAGTAAGCGTTCGAGTGCAACATCACCCACCACTATCTTCTTCCTGTCTACCGAAGATTTAGTTTTCATCGTGTCGGATCCTCATCGTCACTAACTGGTCGCAGAGTCTATGGGATCCATTTTTCACTTATCATCCTATTGGCCGCCTCGATGACGCCAGTACAAGATGGATTATACTGATGTTTTTTTTGGGGGGGTTACTGATTTCATAATCTAACGTATTGTGAAAGGTCGTGAGTGATGATTTAAGATTTTAGGTCGTTGTGTTTTATCTGTGGTTTCGTAAAGTTCAACAACTCAGCTTATAACGTCAGCTATAAATTTTAGTCATGATCGCCCTCTCTCCTGACACATCAGAACTGAAGATTATTAATGTTACTGGTTGCATGTTATTATGGCTCCCTCTAGTCCCATATGTCTTAAAGTCAAGCCTGCGTATATACCCAGTGCTCATATGTGCTCACAATCCCATGTCCC